GATGGTGATGATGATTATGGTGACCATGATGATGATGGTGATGATGATTATGGTGACCATGGTAGTGGTGATGGTGATGATGATTATGGTGACCATGGTAGTGGTGATGGTGATGATGATGATGATAATGATGATGATGATCAATGAATATTTCTACTCTATACTCACCATATTCAAGTTAGTCAGTGGTATAATAGTCTTCAGTTTCTTGCCTTGCTTGCCATCCAACATTCCCTCAAGGATCAGATCAATAGAAGCAGGCACGTACTTTTCAAACAGCCTGTTTAATTCTTCTCGTTCCTTCTCACTGCTACGGGCATTACACCACCTCGTCCAGTAGGGCGTGTAGCCGAGGTTCTTTGGATCAACGTAGACCATACCACAGCGTGAGACAGTGGCTGGAGATGCGTATCTTAGATCTGCTACCTACAACACACAACGGGTAGGATATTGACTTCTCTTGTATATGTCCAGCCAATCAGCTAATCAATAATAATCTTTAATAATAATAATCTTTATTATTTATTTATATTATGTAAATAAGATCTCATGCGCGTAACAAGAATAAATAGAATAAGTTATAATACATACTATATACGTAAGACGTCTATACAATATTTAAAATGTATTCATGTTGCTACCATAATTTTCCTTTTGCTTTCGATCTTCAACGTCCTTTCGTTTCAGTCCGATTAGTCTTTCTTAATTTTTCACGTTATTGTTGTTACTTTCGTTCGTTCATTTGTTTGCTTTTTCGTTTTTTCCCTTTTCCGTCATCCTTTTGTTCGTTCGTTCGTTCTTTTTTTTGTTCATTCGCTTCCGGTTCGATCTTTCCTACTCTCTTCTCCTTCTTTCTTTCATTCTCTCTTTTATTTCATTCTTATTTTCTTTCCTCCGTCCGTTCGCTTATTCGTTCTCTTTCTTCCAAGCGATCATGAAAATCGTTTCAAGTCAGACAGTTGTCTGTCTGTCTTTTAATCGTACGTACCTCAAACAGCAAAGCACAATGCTTCTGCAGTCTTATTCTCTCTCCATTAGCCAGTGTTAACAGCTTGTTATCATCCATAACAGAGTTCATATTCTCGACCCACAGCGCATCAACATCACCATCAAACACGATGTACTTGCGCTCGTTCTTTTCAGTGGGTTTATTGATTTCACGGAAGATACACGACAGAAGACCATCCGTCCAGTCACGTGTCACAGGATCGAGAGTACCGTACAGCTCGATGACCGTACAAGCCTTCGCATTCATGATGAACAGCTTTGTTTGTGTGCTAAGACTAAACAACAACAACAACAGCAACAAAAATTGTTACCAAAGAATTAGGACAAATGTGTATTTCTTGAGTAACGATTTAAGTTCCATTAGTGAAAACCTTTTTTACCTTGGACATAACGGTTCCCATTACAGGCCAAGCGTCATTCTCTTGAGAATAAGATTCTTTGTTTGAGTTGTATTCATATTCATGTGTCTTCTCATGTGCAACCGTTAAACAAAGAATGATACTCTAGGGAATGACACGTGGTCTGAAATGGGGAAAAAATTAGGCCCAAACGAAGTAAGGTTCTCGTGCTAATCACGGGCTTTGGGTTGCAGCGAGAAGTGAGATCCTTCTTTTGTTTTGGGCTTACCGTGTCTGCGCCTGCGCAAGGGTGTTGATCACGACAGTCTTGCCTCCTCCAGTGGGTCCCACAATCATTGTGGTATGGCGTGTTAACATAGTTTCATACATTTGGACAACTTTATCGGCCTAGTGAATGAACGACATGCTGGTTGAGATCGGTATAAAAATAGTAACAGCAACAGTAACAATAACAACATGTACGACGACAACTGCTCAACGACAACCGCAACAGGAGTAACAACGAAATAAACAGGCGCATTCATAACTCCAACAGCAAATAGGACGACAGTAACAACGAATCGGAACAGCAACATAATTTGACACTAACACCAACTAACAAATAAAAACATATCAAGGGCAAAGACAACCAATGGACAGCAGCAACTAAGAAGACAAACATGGCAGAGTTGAAATCTGCCTCGAGTACATCGGTCAAGTTCTACAGTCGTTGAGTGAAAACAGGTTGTCGGCCTTATACCTGGTGAGGAAGCAGGACGTATCTATTTTCTTGCAAAGCAGCTTCAACAGCATCGTTAAAGTTCGGATAACGAACACGAGGACAGTCAAGACCGGGAAACAAATCAGCAATCAGTCCAAGAAAGAGGGGTACATCTTCGAAGACGAACTTTGGAAGGTTCATGTCACGTAACGCACGCATGAGAACCACGTCCTATAGATAGTAGTAAACAAAATGGTAACGCAATACTTTTTATAGTCACGGTTTGGGAATTTCACGTCCTAAGCTAAAGATAAGTAAGCAAAAATTGTAATGCAATACTTAGTCACGGTTTTGGAATTCCTCAGTTTCATAACCACTTATAGCATAAATACTTTAAGAATTTGTAAAGTTTAAGTAGACGCTGAATTACTATACCTCGTTCAATTCAGGAGATCCTCTCTTTAGTTCTCCAGCCATGACTAACACAGCTTTGAGAGCACGAAGACCAAAGTCGTAGTGAGACTGTTTGGATAGCTGTCCAGAAGCTAGTTTGTAGAGAACAGTCATCTTCTTGGCCAGTACCTTTAAAAAGTATGGGAAAAGACTCTTACCTACAAAACTATCATTCATATGCCTTGCTCGTGTGGCGCACCAAGGCAGCCTGGATCATTTAAAGAGCTTTCCCTACAGTACTATACGAAATGCGGTAGGCTTGAAAAACCCAACGCGCTTATTTCCAATTCAATCTGTTTGTTAGCCGTGCCCTGACTTAGATCAGCCAATAGGCTGTATTGAGGTTTGATAAGAGTGAAGCTGGGTTATTTTTCATGTTTTTTCCCGCAAACTCATCCAATCACGATCTATGATTGCACAAGGGTACGGTGCTGTCTTGTTACCATAGTGACCGAGAGCAGGATTTAATAAACACATACTTCAGCCCATCCCACTGCCATTTTCAACTCTCACTTAAAATATTAACTTACTATTCGAGCAAAATATAAGAACTGACCTTCGCGTTCAGAAATCCCTCAGAGAACAGCATAATTTCACAAATCTGTTGTAAATCAGGCACGATACAGACAACAGGTCTGAACAAAGCCTTGACGCTCTCTGGAAGTTCAGTACGACCGGCGTAGCCTGGATTCATGGTGATGAAGATACCCATTCTGCTGTCGAGAGCGATTTCTGTGCCTTCAAACTATAACAGATATACATGAAGAATGATTATGACACGAAATATGCTTTGGATTTTTTGGTCTGGTATTTTATTTATTTTGTGGTCATCGTTGAGAATAAGCAAGAAATTGTTTTTTTGTAGAACTGTTTTACGTTTTATACGAGACGTTTCCCCACACGAGTGACGTCACATTTAGAGCGCTATTGGAATTCACCACCCATCTTCATCATCATCATCATCATTATCATCATTATCATCATCATCCTCATCATCATCATCCTCATCATTATCATCCTCATGATGCCTCATCATCACCATCATCATCATCATCATCATTATCATCAACATCATCATTACCATTATCATCATTATCATCATTATCATCATCACCATCATCAGCATGTTTTTTTGTACCCAAGCAAGACCAGAATGCACTTTGGCTACCTGTAGATCATACAGTACAAATATCTGGAAGTACATTTTACAATGTCTTCTCACCTGTAATCTCTTCAGATTGTTAATAAGTGCTGTCTGTAGTGTTTTGATCTGGGTAGATACGACAGACAGTACTGATACATCGATACGGTTGAACTCGTCAAAACATCCCCAGGCACCGCACTGTGCCAGACCAGAAAAGATTTTCCCGATAGACTGAAAGAGAAAACGTACATATTACTGTGAATATAATAGATAGAGGTGATAACTCGCATAGTTTGGATATGCCATATGTAACCTACCTTAAAATCCATACCCTCACCGCAATTGGTGACTACGCATAGAAGACCGAGGGCTTTAGCGAGATCCTTGGTTGTTTCTGTTTTCCCGGTACCCGCAGGTCCCGCGGGTGCACCTCCAAGATACATGGACAAGGCCTACAGGACATATAAAATACATATCAGAATACCACATGAATACAGACAAAATCTATATAGCTTACATGAGTTAACGGGGGGGGGGGGGGGGGGGGGGGGGGGGGGGGGGGGGGCCTACGGCTTGGGCTAAATGATGTTTCCTGGGGAAGAAAAAGTAAAAGGCTTGTATCTGGCACCAGGGCCACCCCTAGCTTTATGTAAACGGAGGCAGAGGATCTGACATACGACTTTAAGTAACGTCTGTCTTGGATGAGTGCACTCGTTATGTGAAATGCTAACTAGAGATTTCTAGGCTTGTGAAACAAGACAAGGAGCATCACCAGGTAGCTAAAGACAACAAGACTTCGTAAGACTTGTGTTGTGAGAGGTAAAGGGAAACGCGACAATCTTCATATGAAGGGTCCCCTAAGGCAATTTTTAGCAAGGATTCTAGAAACACTCGCCGCAAAAGAAATACAGTCTAAGTAATGCCTACCTGAGTAATAGTCAAGTAGATTCTGTCAGTCAGGGGGGTGATGACCAGCCTACCGTTTAGACCCATGTACTCATAACCATAGCCGAACTCCCCCGTACACTGACGGACCATCAACTCGTCTGGGCCTGGCTCCCAGTAAAACCGCAACTGACTTTCCCATTCGAACTCACGAGCATCTAAAATACTGAGAAATAGGAAAAATGGGATGAATGAAACAGACTTTGCATGTGACCTTCCCCTTTGTCCAACCAAGATTTTAAGATTTTGTTAAAAAAATAACTTGATGCATATATTCTATTTTATGGCATGTCCCATGGAACAACGAATTTCAGGCCCTTTTCAGGATGCTGATGGTGTCAAGAAAATTTTCCATTTTCCCCCAAGAATTCCAGGAGCAGTACAAACCCTGCTTCTATAACGATATATTTACATTGGCTAAGCTAGTGTGCTGATCTGTTGCATAAAACTAACCTGTCTCTAACATATCCATCGACAATATCCCTCGCGTGTACTTCAATAATCAACACTGTGTTGAACTTCTTGCGATCATTCTTGATCAAGTTTGAGCGCACTTTGACCACAAGGTCATCAATCTGGCTGTGGCACTTCTTGGCGTAGTTCTTCATCGCCATCTTATCGCCCTTTTTAACCTTGTTGAAGACATCCTCGACCTCCCATGTCCACCAGACTTGGTTTCCTGCCAACACCACCATACCTTGGTATTGCATCATCCATTCGGTTCTATAGATAGAATGAGGTTAAAATACGGCCAGTATGGATGGTACGACGTGTAAGATTGATGACACATCTTTTGCTAAATGGACCAAATCCACTTGGGCTTAATGTTTTGCCCATTTCAGTCACGTTTCATTCTCTTGAGAAAAAGATTCTTTGTTTGAGTTGTATCTATATTTATGTGTCTTCTCATGTGCAACCGTTAAACAAAGAATCAATACTCTAGGGAATGACACGTGGTCTGAAATGGGACAACAGTGGGTTAGGTCTACTCAACCAATGTGGGACTATGAAAATCACCAATAGAATAAATTTCTATAACTGTCGTCATACCTTGCCACCTCATTGCAATAGTTATAAATGGCTTCTTTAGTGATCAACCTGTTTGTTCTTCTCATTTCATTCAGTACATTAGTCATCCAGTCCTCTACACGACCTTCAGCAGGAACACCTTTCCTGAACTCCATCACCTCCCCCTCACTAGATATCATGGCTGCTGCTATAGTTTCTTTGTTGTTTCCTTCTTGGAAGCGGAGACTCGCGATGTTATCAAACATCTAGAAATTAAAATTACAATGGTTAAACGTTAAAGTCATTCTTCCAGCTATTCAACGCCATTGCAAATATCGAGCCATTTGATTGCGTCTTTCGAGTTTCCAGTACTTGTGGAGGGTCCAACAACACTCACCTTTATCATATGTTCCTGTACGCAAGCCGGATCGTGGCTTCCCAGAATCGACAGCAGCTCATCATCTGAGATGAAGAAAAACCGAGGGAACGCGTTCCTCTTGGAGTCMAGGTAATCGTTGAGACTTTTCTGGCATTTTTCGAGTCCAGTGACTATAAACTGTAGCTGATCGAGACGATTTGCGGCATGACAGGATTCGAGTACTTTAGGGTTCTTAGCTGTTTCAGCCATTATCTGGAGAATATGGAACATCACAAATGAATAAGAGGACAAGGCAAAATTGGTTGTCTTTTAGCTTTGAGAAATTAATGAATTGAATATATTGATCGGCTGAGCATATTGTGAGCAGAGAGACTTTTCCTTCAAAGTCAAAGTGCTTTATGATCTTTCTAGGCCAATGCATAAAGTCGTTTTTGGATAAAAACAAAACAAAACAAAAAAGGAGCCTGAGGGGAAAGAAAAATGATGAGACACTCAAAAAAAATACGTAATTGTTAATCTTACCTTCTTGAAAGTCTTGTCAATGTCATCGAATTTCTTGGCTTCTTCAGGAAGCTGTGCTCTGATATCTCCACCAATAAAGATGCTCTCCAAGTACATCCACTTTCGCTGGACTACCATCCAAACCTAAACGCATAAATATTTCAAAAACATTCGTTAGAGATGTGTCATGCTGCCCAACCAACCAACATGGCGGCCACATATTTTTTATTATCATTTTTTATGGGGATGATACATACCTCGACAACCTCACCAATATGTGACAGACTTTTCTCCCACTTGTTAACATTTTCCAGGAAGGGTCCCACAAACCTCGAGGCCGACATACTCTGTAAATTCATAGCATTATCATCGAGTATCTGTAAAATCTCATCCACGGAACCCAAGACAAACCCTCTCTCCTGGGTACCCTTCATGTACTTGGTGACACTGAACTTCATGTTACTCCACGTCTCATTGACTTCACTGATACCCTTCTCTATCCCGAGCTCCTTTGTGGCACTGGCTGTGATGTCAGCGATGACGTCACTGAAGTTATGGAGTTCCATGGCGAACATGTTTTGTAGGGTGAAGGTGTCTGGGTTTAAGTCGAACTTCATTCCTGTCATGTCCATCAGTTTCTTCCAGTGACTGAAAGAAAACATTGAAAATATGTGAAATGCTGAATCAGTATATTCTTGGTAATTTACTCTGAAATCACCGCGTACGGCACACGGCACAGGCACGGTAAAGACGGCACTGCTGCACCAATCACGACGCACGAGATTACTCGGTCCATCCACCTTAAATCTTAAGACAATTTAGGTTTTGTTACTGCCTACTGAAGCATACTGAAAACCTTCTATTAATGTTGTTGTTGCTATTGGCAAAAAGACAAACGTTGAAAAAATTATCTTGCTATAAGTTTTCCTTCAAAAACGCTGGAACTGGTATGTTTGGGAACGTTTTTCCATCTGTGTTGCTGCTACTGCTGCTGTTGATGTTTTTTGTTTACAGTACTGTTGCCACTGGTGTTGCCAGAGATGTTCAGATACGTTGCGATGCTTTCTCGCGCAGGAAAGTAACAAAAAAAACTTAAATAGCGTTGAAATTTGCAGGATTTATGGAAGGCTTTAGGGAAATTGAATTGAAAAGGTTTTGTTACCGTTCCCTGAGCGCCTCATTTTTAAGATCAGAAAACAAGGGGATGGAATTCTTAAACTCTTTCATCTTTTCTTCCAAGATGTGACAGAGAGGAAGGGCCTTGACTTCTCGGGGGAGTCTCTTCAGTTGTTTCAGGTAACCATCAATACCATCGGATAGAACAGATACGTCAAGGTTTGCCCACAGTGTGTTGGACCATTCGTCACGGGCAGCCTACAATGAGAGGGAGAAATAAAATATGGGATAATGGACGGTTTGTACGGATGTATGGATAGATGATCGACCGACTGCACAAAGGAACGAGAGACTGAAAAAAAATGGATGAATGAAAATATGCACAAATGAATAAAAAAACGACTCAATGAGATTCAAAAAGACCGATGGATTGGACAGATGGGACTAAATGCTTTACGGAGCGAACGAGAGAATGGCGCATGAATGAATAATAAAATGACGGACAACAAGGCAGAAAGATTGTCTACGGAATGAAGAGATGGATGGGATAGGATGGATGAAAGGACAAAAGGATAGAGGGACGGAAAGAATAATGGACGGACAGACGGACGAGGAGATGGATAGATATACTGAACAATTATATCATCACGTACCTGTTGACTAGTATAGATGCTAAATATTTGTTCAAGGCCTTTCAGTTCCTTCTCCATCTGAACCAATTCAGGGTACATAGTAATAGATAAACCAAACAGTCTCTCTGCGTTGGTCAACTCTTGGCGCTCCTTTTCGTATTTAGAGAATTCCTCCTGGAAACGCTTCAGAAGTTCAACTCCTAAGCAAACCAAGGGTTTACGTTTAGCATACAGTAAATTTTATATTAGTACGGAAGAACTACAGAACACGTAGAATGCAGCAAATAACTACACAGATTCGAGTAGTTACACGCTGTTACACGCAAGCATGTAGGTGACTTGTGTGTCACGCCCATTTTTTTGCAGGCTGCCCAATGTAGAAAGTAGATCCACTTTTCCCGAGTCAAATATGTGTCGAAGATACGGGTTGCGCGTGCATTATTATGTTATGGAGAACAGAAAAACTCGTAACACATGCAAGAATATTTTTCGTGCGACACATTTCTAATGAGAAATCTACAGAGAGAGCTAGAACGTTACCTGCGTCTAGATCTGTGCCAATTGAGCTTGGTCCCTCGTTTATGAAACTCTCCTTGAACTTAGAAATATCTTTAGTGAAGTCGCCCACTTGATCTTGTGTGATCTGCAAGATAGAAATGTAAAGTAAAGTCTGAGTCTTAAAAATCCTGTTAGCGTCTAATATTTAGCTATTAGTCCTTGAGCCCGAATGGACTATTGGCTCCATGAGGGCGAGACGACTAATTATTTTAGTCAAATCCAACTAGTCGGTCAAATATATATAGATGCGAACAAGTTTTCAATTTTTTCAAGGTTTTCAAAGCCAGCTCTTTTCATTACTAGTAAGATATAACTAAGTTATAGCCTACTAGTAGCTCATCCAATCAGAATACAGCATTGATTATAGACCATCAACTATTTGGATTTGACTAAATAGCGTTAGTTGCTGTGACGTAAGCCAGCACTTTTCGTTACTACTAGGTTATAACTTATAACCTACTAGTAGCGCATCCAATCAGAATGCAGCATTGATGATAGACCACTCGTATTTGACTAAAATTACATATTTACCTCAGTGAACTTGACTTTGACGGAGACCAGACTATAGTCCACGCTTCTGGACTCTGCGAAGAGATCTTCCCAGACTTGATCGATGCTGTTACAAATTTCCAACTCATCCTCGGGAACCTGATTGAAATATTAAATGAATGGTTACGAGAGCAATAAGGTCGTTGAGATCTTAGTTTTGTTTTAATACCAATTAATCTGGCGGGAAATCTGCGGTTTGTGTGGTCAATTCGTAGGATTGATTTGTAGGAAAGCTTTAATCCCGGCCTCGTCGACACTAAAGAAAAACGTTTGCGCATGCGTGCACGTCTGCACGTTTTCTAAAAATTTTGAAGATTTTGAGCGAGAAAATAAATGTTTGCTTTCTTCAAGCATACAAAAAAGTTCGCGAGTATACTTTTGTCAGACCAAGATACTGTATAAGCAAACACAATATGAAAGAATTAGCCTTAAGTTTCAAGTATGGACACTAAGTTTTGGCATTTTGTGATGTCCAATTTATAAGGCATGTTTGAAAGTCAAATTTGCTTATGTTTTGACTCATTTGCATACGGATTCACAGCATGCGCAGACGTTTTTCACTCGTGTCGGCCTCGTTATCGCATGTTGGTAAAGTTTATTGGGTCTCATCCTTGATTGGACGGATTTTCTCCGGGTTCTCCGCTTCTCACGAGCACTACCAGCTTATTCTTGTTCTGCAGTGGAACATACCTCAATATCGTACATGCGCAGTGTGCGGTATCTTTCCCTGATGTCTGCGCATCGTAGTTCTACATTAAGAGACATGTCCCGGATGTCCGCAATGACTCGTAGGACGAACTTGAGATCTTCCAAGGTGTCTGGAGCACGCTTAAGATCGTTGGCCAAACCCTGAAATGAAAATACACAATAGTTTTAGAGGCAGCCTCATAATTTATGACCATCATAATTATCGCTATCAATGTCATATTAATATTCAGAATYATCATGAGCATTATTCATCGTCATCAGTATTCATCATGATTATGTTTCACCCAAATTAACGCTTTCTACACTCACTTCCAGTTCTCCTTTCAAAGCCATAAGATTTTCTCTGGCAGATTCATTCAGCATTTTCCCAAGTTCCTTGACCCAGGCTCTCGCGTTTGCCTGAATGGTGGTTGCTAGGGGTTCCAGGTTGAGGCGCACGAAGTCTCCGTCACGTGACATTGCTTGGTTACCAACCTAGCAACGGAAAGAGATTATAGTTGGATAAGCACTGGGGTCGGGAGCGATGGAAGGGAATGGTATATAAAACACTTGAAAAATTGTATGCAGATAAAATCCATCACCTCCTGGAACAATGTTTAAAGTTAAAATCCTCGTTCTTCTGAAGGCAACTGAGTTGTCACGTGGTACACCTGTATCACATGACAGATAGCAAGGAACGCCTTGAAGTGTTCGCATTTGCAGAAACTCAAGACTGGACAAAATGTCTGGGTTTTTTTCAGCTTTTGAAATCAAACTTGTTACTTTTTTCCAGTTTTTCACTTCTGTTTCTTTCAATCCCAGTACTGTCTACACAAGTGCTTACCTCGAGTACAAGATTGGAGTAAAACTGCAGCTTCTCGTCATACGCAATACATGAGGGATTCTTGGATGCAAACTTCTCTACCATGTTACTCTAAAAAATACAAGACAGAGTTTCAAGTAAGTCATTAAAACTGTGAATTGTAAAGTATCTCTTGTTGCTATAGCAATGATATTAGATAGCCTTACAATTTTAGAAAAACTTTTGTGTTTTGTTTGAGCAAACAAAAAAACAAAAAAAATACCCCGTATCATGTTAATCAATCACCTCATTGTTAACATAAGGACTTTCTCACTTACCTTGTCAAGTTTCCATAACAACCGGTACCTCTTCCACCGATTAAGGTATTTGTTAAGGGAGCCGAGGGTGTTCTGGACGCTTTTGGTTACCGTGGTAACCAGTTCGATAATGGCTGGATTAGCAGCGATGTCTGTGAAGAAGCTGAATACCACAGGCTCGTCTTCCCCTTCAGCGTGCTGGGGTGGTGTATCGATACACGTGCCGTGCATCCATCGTACAAACTGCTTTGTTCTTCATTACGAAAATCACCAAGAAAGAGACAAGAATTAGAACGCCTAATTGGTCCTGATTTCACCACATGGAAATGTAAAAGCTCCAAGGGAAGGGGTTGAGGGGAGTTCACCAAAAATTGAATAAGAAAGAACCTTAAACATCGTGTTTTGAACTATAATGACGTTTCGGAGATTAGTCCTTCCACGGAGGTTTCTACCCCAGGTTGAACTTACCCTTCAACCATGTCTCTTACAGACTGCATGATCAGTTTGTAGATTTCATTGGCTGGTGGTGATAGGACAATCTCTGGTGCAGACAGCACTGTTTCTATCTGGAACAGAGGCTGTTTAGACAACAACTGGCTGTTGAACATCTGCAAGTTTCTTGTTACCATCTGAGGAAAGCATTACAAGAGAACAATTGAAGGATTATTCATCGTGGATATAAACCTAAGATTACACTCATTTATCTAACGATTGTGGCAGTTGGGAGGAACGCGACGTTTCGACTGCTACTGCTCGTCTTCATTAGGAGATGGTGTAGCCTGGAAGGTGTTTTACTTATATACCGTCGGTCTGGCAGAGAATGAACCCCCCCCCCACCCCCCTACGTAGTAAGATGACGTACCTTAGTGAGTGCTTCGTACACAGAATTCTCCCAATAAGCATAGTAAGGCTGTAGTTTAGGTGACCTCCCGGTATTAGTGTGAGCTACAAGTCCTTCCATTTTGGTCAGTAATGGACCAATCGCTCGGTACTTCCTGGCCAGCACGTCCAGTTCATGGCCACGGCACTTCTCCAAGTGCTCAAAGTATTCCTAGAAATGAAAAGGAGTTTAGTTACTTCTAGTCTACCAATCGACAACAAATGATTGACTTGCTGAGTAACTGACTATCGGCCTATATATCTACCTACGAACCGACCATGATCTCAACTAACTGATCAACCAATCTTGACCTGCTGAGTGGCTGACTGACTGAACGTCCGACCAACAAACCTTCCAACCGACCAGCTGGCCGACCGACCACCTGATTTCCAACAACTGATCAGCCTACTGGCTTACTGAGCGCCTGACCGACCAACCAAACAACCAATAGACCCAATATTGCATTGAATTCCTAGAGGAATTGTTCTTGGGGACAAAACAATAGGCCGTCTTTTCTTATACAAAAAAAAAATCGATTGTTTTGTCCCCCAGAACAATTCCTCTAGGGACTCAGTGCAAGGGGTCTATAAATCGAACAACCAACTTACTGCCTGGCTGACTAACTGACTAATAGACAGATAAACAGACAGAGAGACAAAAAGACGTTTTACCTTGGCATCTGGCAGCATGCCGTTGGCTTTAGGAGGCGAGGGCTTGAACAGCTCGCTATTTTCAATCATCTCCAACCGACTGTTGATGTCCTTTGCGTTCTTTTGAATCTGGTTTACCAACGACTCGAACTTACCGATCGCCTAGAAATATGACAAATACGATCATCAAAGATTTAATGAATTGATAAAAATCATAAAACATGAAGCGGGATCGATAGAGTGGGTGGTTATTACAACGAAAGATGTTTCTTGTGACTGTAAAGGCGATGTCAAAACAAAAACGTTGTAAGTTACTAAGTGTTTCAGACGCTTTATTTTTGCAGATCCCTATGGAGTCTCTTACGCAGACGTTCTTAGGGTCTGTAGAGGCTAATCCCCATATTGAACATGTAGTGTTGCATGTAGTGTTGTTACCTGGCCACAGCGAGTGATGTAGTCGCTTATTCCAAGAGAGTTCCAGTTCAACCTCTTGGCTCCTGGTTTGAGCACTCGTTTTAACTCTTTAATGTGGTCGTCGAGAAGTTGAGTCTGGAGACGGCAAGAAAAGTTTACACCATCACAACCATTGCGATCATCACCATCATATGATATTGAGCATCATCATCATCAGCAACATCATCATCGTCATCATCACCATCATCCATCGTACGAAGCACATCGAACAACACCACCATCATGATATTGGCATCATCAATATTAGAAGCAGCATTATCATATTAAGCATCATCATCATCCCCATCATCATACTGAGCATCATCGTCACTCATCATCATCCTAATATCATAACATATTCTACCTCTGCTACGTCCAAGCTCACGRTGACTGAGTGATATCGCTCCAGCATCATTTTCAATCCATCCACGTATTTGAGATATTTCTCCTCCTGGAAAACATAAGATGGACATCAGTCAATATATATTCTTATAAGCATTTGAGTAAATTGCTTCAGTGCTCTGGTCGCTGTTGCTGCTGATGTTGTTGTAGTTCTCACTGTTG